GCAACACCTTGATATCTGAGCTGAACCTTGGTGTTTTCTTTTCATATACCCTTTTTCCCTTGCAATGCATCATGGGTGGTGACCTCTTGCCGTGGCACAGCCTAGGTATATAGACATGTATGCTGCTGTGAGGACCCATATGGACCCGGAGTTGTCGGAACTATACATTCGACTTGGTGAAGGCGCTCTTTTGACAAAATTCGGTCAAAATCTGTGACATGCCACGGTCATGCGTAGTGCACGCATAGCTGAGGTCTACTGTGTATGGGTTGAACGCCCTCGAGTCAGTCTGCGTGCTGACGGAGCTGCGCATGACGTCGCAGCAGTTTTTTCGTTCCGCTCACGAACTTCAGACTTCCAGCCCGCGACAGTGATGCGACTCACCCTCCATGTCACTCTCCAAGTATGCCAAGACTTACCTATTGAACCAATCCAAGTACAAACATCTCAATGCTTTTAACTCACTAGTCGCTCCGTCGGTCCTCGCCGCGCGCGACAATGCCGCCGAATCGAGTCCTGCTTCTCGCAGCATCAAGGACAAGCCAATCGCAATAAAAGATAACATTTGCACAAAAAGCTTGAAGACGACAGCATCCTCCAACATATTGAAGGACTTCACCAGCCCGTACGATGCGACTGTAGTCAAGCTCCTCCAAGATGAAGGTGTTGTTATTGTGGGCAAAACCAACATGGATGAGTTTGGCATGGGCTCGCATTCGACACATTCGCATTTCGGCCCAGTAAGAATGCAGAGATATGAAGGCGAAGACTTGAGTGCAGGAGGAAGCTCAGGTGGAAGTGCGCTTGCAGTCGCCAGTTCTCAGTGCTGGGCGTAAGTCCCCAGGTGTTGCCGAGACCAAGGTTACGTATACTAAGACAAGCAGAGCGTTGGGGACCGATACTGGAGGCTCTGTCAGACTACCTGCTTCATATACTGGCGTTGTCGGATTCAAACCGAGTTACGGCCTGCTTTCAAGGTGGGGCGTGATCGCCTATGCCAACTCTCTAGACACTGTTGGTATATTTGGGCGAAGTACTGAGGACGTGAGGACCATTTTTGGTGAGTGCATTTACCACCTAAGTATGCAGCACGTCTGACAAAGTCATAAAGACAAACTCAACGTGCATGATCAGCAAGATCCAACTTCCATTCCTCATTCAACACGTGCACGTTTTGGAAGGCGAAAGGCGAAGCAATCGTCAACTTTAAGGATTGGCATCCCCCTTGATTACAACATTGAGACCCTACAGCCTGTTGTTCGAAAGGCATGGATTCGGCATCTGAGTCATTTATGGGACGGCGGTCACAGTTTGCATCCTATTCGGCTACCAACGACACGACAGGCTCTATCAGCTTACTACGTACTTGCACCAGCCGAAGCATCCAGTAACCTTGCAAAGTATGACGGAGTACGTTTTGGCAGTAGAGCAGAGGGTATGGATGGAACGCCTGATAGCGTGTTGTTTGCCAAAACTCGTGGTCAGGGCTTTGGGGCCGAAGTTCAACGCAGGATCTTGCTTGGAGCCTTTTCGCTTAGCGCCGAAGCTATTGACAATTACTTTATTCAGGCACAAAAGGTCCGCAGGCTAGTCCAGCAAGACTTCAACAGAGTGTTTGCAAGACCCAATCCTCTTTTTGAAGATGGGACAGCTGCAAAACAGCCAGAGGAGGGGGTTGATGTTATCGTGTGCCCCACGGCACCATCCATGGCGCCATGGCTATCAGAAGTGGAACCCCAGGATCCCATTCAATCCTACATGAACGATGTATTCACTGTTCCTGCCAGTTTGGCCGGACTACCAGCCATTAGTATCCCCGTAGGTGTAAAGTTGGGGGAAGAAGACATTGGGGTACTGAGAGGAAGTGATTCAAGCTTCAACACTGTGGGCTTGCAGGTGATTGGTCAATACGGAGATGATGAGCTTGTCCTGGACGCTGCGAAACTCATGGCGGATATTTCACCGTCTCCTCAAGTGCACCTTGGGCCAGATGTCACTGCTTGGCATGTTGATGAAGGGCGAAAAGCATGATGTCTTGTCAGGTCTTGTCGAAAGCCTCTTAGTATCAGCAATCAACCACGCATCAATACAAATCGAAGGTCATGACGGCCAAGACGACCCATGACCCGGTCATGTCGCCGTGGTTGCATTCGACAGCCATGCCACGTCAACAGCAGCCTCCCAGCAAAACGATAACATATCGGCCATGCTCTGTAGCACTAGTGTTTATTGTTTCAGCGAAGCCCGAAGCCGGTACTTCTCGCCTAGTACGATGTCGATCTCAGACACTTAATAATAGAAACCATATGCCGAGATTGCATGGCAAGGCAGATGAATGTAACTCGGCTGAATTGACCACACAACCCTACCGGACCCATGGCCACAGCTTACGAGGACTAGTGCTGGAGACTAGGAGGTGTTGCGTGGGGGGTAACATGTCGCTGTGTACAGGTCTACTGCCCAGATGCCCCTGCATCTATGTCACATTGTGGGCCTAAGCAGTCAGCTGTAAGAGTATTATTGCGTAAGAGTTTACGACACAGCTAGCAGCTGCCGGTGAGATACTATGGCGATGATACATGTCATGATGTCCTTGGATACTAGGTAGGTATGCTCATGCCTTTGTCACTTTGATTAACTGCTAGTAGGCCGAGAGCCCACGCCCACGTGATTGCGAACTACTAGTTGGCCTGCAGGGCCGGAGTGTCGTGATTGGCCGGCATGTGACTAGGCAGGATCGAGTCACGCGGGGTCTAACATGGAAGCTACGTCACCGAACCGACACATTGTATGTACGGTATGCGCCCAGTCTTCTACTGCGAACGACAACCACGCGATTATAGTGCCATGTATCATGGTGTTGCAGAGTAGAGCCTTCTGTTGCTTGCCGTCATCTACACCTGCACCTAGCTATGTCTTGCATCATCAGCCATGTCACACATGCACTGTATGCCGTGAATCAAGGGCGGGGTTTACAGCTGTAGGTGCAGTGTCACCAGCCTTCAAGGCACTACAGACACATCCACGGCCAGTCAGCAACGGATACGTAAACGATCGATATCAGATAGATGCGGTCAGTCCTGTTCCCACGTTGGCGGTTGTGCCGTTCCATGGCCCTGCGTAAGAGAAGTGGTCCTCTGGACCTTGTTCTCCACACCATCTTCCGTGTGCCCGGGGGCATCAAGTCTGAGACGCTACACGACGATAGCCAGGCGAGAGCCACGTCCGGGCTTTCGAGACAATCGAGTGGTCAGGCAACGACTGAGAAGTGAAAGCAGGGCGCAGTAAAGCCCACCATACGCGCCTTACCGAGTATACTGGGGGGGGGGACTGCGCGACTTGTGCGAGTGGCCCATCGCCTCAAGCGGTTATCCCACCGAGTCTCCCGAGCCCTGACCGACCAACCCCAGCATGCCGGTAGATATCCAATCAAGTCTTGTCCGACGGCCCAATGTATGATGCCAGCCAACCAAACCTCCCGATCCAGCGTCACAGTGTCGTCTGTATGGGTCAAAGGTGATGAGCATGGCGCGCATGGTGTCGGTCTTGGTCGTTACTGAAAAGGAGGGGTCGAATTTAGTATCTTCGATATGTCACTCGTTGGGACAAGACACCCCACCATCATGGGGGCGGCGGTAGTCGGCCGCACAAGTCGCGCATGACCCAAGCGCCTCGACATCCACTCAAACGAGCAGCTGGCCGAGCGTGGGTTGGAGGAGGAGACAAATGAGCCAGAGAAGGTGTGTAAGGCGAGACGGTCGGCAGGTCTATATAAGTACCCCCCCCATCTCAGCACCTTGATGGCCTCATCGCGCTCCAACATTTGCTCATCTGTCCCATCTCAACACACTAAGCTACTTTCAACCAACCAACCAACCAATCAACCATCCTCACCATGTCTCCATGGTACGTTTGCTCAGCATACTCCTTACACGATGCATCGCGCCGCCTGCTGGGCATGCTGCTGGGTGGGGGATAGCGGTTTAGCACCGTGATGGCTCCCTCTTGCCTCATCATGTGGCTACTAGCAAGTGGTGCACCAGTCGGCGGATCGTATCGAACCCTTCTTTGCATGAAACGAGGATTGGACATTGTTTTCTTTTTGCTAACTGCATTTGTGTTTTGAACAGCACCTGCAACGCCTGCTCCTGCAAGGGCGACTGCTCCAGCTGCAACTGCGGATCTTGCTCCGTAAGTTTCTCCCTCTTCTTTCTTTCTAGGCCTGTCCCAGAAACAAAAAAACAAAACAAAACAAAGTTTTACTTACACAACGGTCCTTTAGCACTAAGTCAATAATATGACACCACCCCGACTTGTGCAACCTTTGAAAGGCTACAATAACGCCACGGTTCCATCGAGCGATATTTGGAGGAGATGGAACAAGATTTCTTTTGCTTCAAGATGAATGGTCGTTTTTTTTTTGTTAGCCTTTTCGAGGGTTGACACAGGAACCTTTGAGTAGGAAGGGTGGAGGACATGGGAAATTTCGGCATGAAGAATTATGAATTATGGACACTCGTTTGAATCAAACAATAAGAAATCGAAACGTGGACTCTGTTGTGTTTGTGATGTGTATGTGAGAGAGTTGGATTTGGTACATGAAGAATTGATCGAAGGGGATATGGACAGTAGTCTGAACGACTTAGTAGTTTTAGTTGTTGCATGTGCTGATGAATAGTTCTTGTGGTTTAACATGGATAAGTAGCATCTTGCTAACTGAACATGTAGACCTTTTACAGCTATTTTAGTATATAAAAGGTAATCTCTGGACCAGAACTCTCTCCTATCCCTCTTCCTGGACACCATTTACATTTTACCTTGCTTTGTCTCGCCTAGGTCATTATGATGCATTCAAACCAATGATTTATCCCGCGTAGCCACTGGGATTCTTTGTTAGTTTAGAAGAGTAACCAAGTTTTGCAAGTCCGTCCAGTGAAATAATGAACATGGTGTATTCACACGTCTTTATGCCTGAATTTTTGTTCACAATACAGCAGTGCATGAGAATTCGAGATTGGATGTGGAATGGCCTTGTACCAGCCGAAACTTGTAATTTTGGTAACATGTCAAAAACGCCTGCGCTATGCAAAAATGTAACAAAAAAAAGTCTTGGGGTTGACCTTTTGCAGACACAGTGATGAAAGAGGACTATTCATCCATTTGCCACTGGTACTCGAGTTTCTCGATATTCGCCTTGCGGTTCCTAGAGTCAAACCACTGTTTCTCGAACCCATTACTACGGTCAATGCCGTCCCACCGGTGACCAGGACGAATGTTGTATCTGTTTGGCTGGAAAGGCCCCTTGTACAGCGGCTTTCCGGTGATACTGCGTCCAGCCTTCTTCTTGCGCAAAAAGCCCATGGCCGGGTCATTCCAGTGATCGCGCTCCTTGAGCTCGTCGTTGAGCTCGGCGTCATCTGCGTACCGGGCGACCGTCATTGTCTTTGCGTCTTGCAGCTGTTGCTTGCGACGTTCGGCTTCTGCGTTTTGCACGTCTCCGCGTGCTGCGCGTTCCTTTTCACGCTTCTGGCGCTCCTCTTCCTCGGCCTTTTTGCGTGCCTCGGCGCGCTTCATAGCGACATTGATGATGCGGCCGCTGGCATCTCGGTATATGGTTTCCGGTGCCGCACCCCCCATTTCCTTTGCAATCTTCTCGGCCTGGCGCTTCTCCTCGTCCAACTTCTTGTTCATGGCGGCCTCGACTTCGGCAGCCGTTTGTAGGCCTGCTTTTGTGCCTGACGCTGTTCGAAGTATACCATCCTGGTCTACCATCTCTGGTGCTTCATCCTCGGCTGCCGCTGCCCTTTCGCGATCTGCAGCAGTGCCTGCGATGATGGCATCGGCGGCAGCTGCGTCTGCAGCAAGTTGTGCAGCATGCGAGGGCGCAGCGACACCGACAGCTGTCCACGTTGCTGCGCTGGTGGCTTTTGATTTCTTCTTTGATTTCTTCAGCGTGCCTCCACCGACTGATCAGCATAGTGTTAGCCATGGACATGTGCAGCTTGCGCGAGTTGGGGGGTGCCCTTACCTATCATTGGTGCGTCATCGTCGTCATCGTCGGCCTTGTCTTTCCAACCCAGATTGTCGTCGTCTTCGATGATGAGGCCGGCATCCTTGTTCTTTCTCTTGCGCTTCTTGGATTTCTTTTCCGAATCAGCGGTAAGGTAGTTTTTGGCCAGATAGTCGGCAAGTCCAGACATGCTTGATTGGATGGCGGGGCTGACTGTCCATTGTGCATGCGCCCAAGTCGCGAAGTTTGGCAGGCAAAGTCCATGGGCTTGGCACGCGCGTCATGACAAATCACGTGATGTCGCGTCATGGCGTGTGATCAGTCGCGATGGGCCCCCTGGCCGGCGATGTCACCCACCCCAATAATACCTCATCTTGGATTACAGTACACTACACACTGCTACCATGGCGCCTGGAGAACGCTCTGAAGAGGTGTGGCTGTGGTACACGGCCGTGTACGAGGCGATTCAGGAGATACCGTATGGCAAGGTCACCAGCTACGGACACATTGCCCGGCTGGTGGGAAAGCGTGCGTGGTGCTTGGGGAGGCTGATGATGACGACGACTGGCTGACTTGTTTGTTTGATCATAGCCGAATGTCCCAGGTAGCAGCACTCATCACCATCATGTCACTGCTCATACTGCGACTAACAGGTGACGTCAAAAGACAGGTGGGCGTGTGTCTCAAGAACCTGCCTTCGCCATCGCCATCGGGCGACAGCAGCAGGACGAAGCCTAGGTTTCATAGCGGCAACGTGCCTTGGCAGCGCGTGATCAACGCCAAAGGCGGCATCAGCCCGAGGTCTGCACCCTCGTCATGGCGACAAGGCCTTGTTTTGCCTTTGTGTTTGCCTGCTAACTAATCACAAAGAGGACCAAGTGCGGCGGCGCACCAAGCAGATGCTCTACGGAGGGAGGGTGTAGAGGTGAGGCAGGATGGCATGGGGCAGTACACGGTGGAGCTGGATGAGTACGGGTGGTTCCCGGACATGCTCCCGAGCGAGGCAGAGCAGATCGAGGGCAGCGACATGGACGAAGACAAGGACGAGGACGAGGCCGCGTACCATACTTGAGGCATATGCGTGAGAAGCTTTGTGAGGGGGGGGACTTGGATACATGGCGTAGTTAGAGCAACCAACCAGGGTCTTGTTACAGCGGTGGTGCATTGCCGTTGGGCGAACAAAGTATGCATTGCCTAGCACGTTGGAGTTGGCAGCTTGCTGATGGCCGGCGGCTACCCCAAAGTCGTGGGTGGCTAGTATGGGGTAAGTACATGGCCGTGAGCCGTGAGCCGGATGCCGAAGGCTCTAGATTCCACGAGTGGACGGGGCTAGTGGGCGAAAGGGCGCAGAGATACGGGGACCGGATGCGGACAGCTATCGGGGTGGGTTGGTTGGGTGGGTGGGTGCAAAGGGGCGCCATGTAATATGGCGGGTATGTGGTAAGTAGTATGCAAGCAGCGATTGTTGGGACGCCTGCAAGTCGACTGGCGGCGAGATGCCGAGGGTGTTGGCGTGTAGTAGGACAGTGCAGTAGTAAGCTTGATCGAGCGGCGAGCTCCAGCGCCGGCTCTCCCTCGCCCCTGGCCCATGTGCGTCGTCGTCGTCGTGCTGCAGTCCAGGAACACGGCAAGCCCATGAAACTCGGACCATGGCACGGCGGCCAGCGTCAAACCGGAGCCGCGTCGGGTCAACGCGGGATATGCGTGGGCGAGCCGGGTGGGCGCGTTGGGGCCATGGTCATGAGCTCTCACTGCCTCCCTCCCTCCTTATCAAGAAGCAGGACAAAAGAGCGGGGACGGCGCCGACGCCTTTGACCTCATCTCAAAGGGCGGCCCCGTCCGCGCCACTATTTAGGCCCAGGACACGCCCATCTGCGTGCCGACCAAGTAGATACATGGGCCATAATCCCTCACAGCTGCCTGCATAGCCACCCGCTCTTTGCCCGTCATCCTGAGTCACTTCTCAGAGTCATTCACCAGACAGCCGCCAGTCACCAACCACGCCTGCCTACCCGTGCCCTCTTCCACTACTTATTCCATTCATACCTGCGTACCTGGCCTCTGCACATCATCCCTCTAGCTCCGTCACTCACCCACCCCTAACCTGCTCCTTGACCACCCAGCCACATACGCATACGTCCATACTACTACACACCTAGCCTCCCTTGCAGCCTACCGGCACTCCCTGCTTCCCCTCCTCCATACCGTCATACCACCATACCTACCACACTCCCACCAGTACCCGCCTCAGCTCTCACCATGTCGGCCTCGCAGACCTTCACCAGCGACCTTCGCAGCAGCGCCAGGGAGTTCAACCGCGACAAGAACAGCAGGGCCAAGTGGGCGCATGGCCAGTCGTTTGGCCCTGGACGGCGCGAGGAAGACGGCAAGCCTCGCCCTGCGAAGCCCTTCCCCCATGTCAAGTAAGTCGCCTCTGGCACTAGCCTGCTTGTGAGGCCATCAGAGTACTAATCCGCGCAGGGCCTCGTCTTTTAGCCCCATGAAGGCCCGTTCTACCTTCCACAAGGACATGACATCGGCCAGTGACGAGTCGTCGGCCGACGAAGACGTTGACCACCCGTCGGCCGCGCCTGCCCCAGATGCCGACATCGCATACTCTTACGATGCTGCCCGCGGCCCCAGCCACGGCAGCCAGATCCTCAACTATGCCCTCGACAAGGCCGTCGAGCGCTTCGAGACAAAGGAGACGGAGAAGCTGGTCAAGAACGAGTACGAGGTTCTGGACATTGATGACGACATGCCACGAACCAAGCGGCGCGTCGCTCCCGAGGATGACGAGTACGACTTCGTTGACGCCTAGCTGTCTGGGCCCCGTCTCTTGACCTTTGAGTCGTCTTCGTCCGCCCTCGTTCCCTTCTCCCTTCTTGCATATGACTTTATCGGCGTTCTCTGACACGTGGTCTTGACTTGATTGTCGACTTTTGGTATGGCTTTTTAATTTATGGCAGCATCAATAGGCGAGCGTCTGGCGCTTCTCTGAGGACTTGAGCAGCCCTATACCCGTCCCGGCTTGCTTTTTTTTAGTGGGGGTGTTTGTGACTTTGGCTATCGGCATCGTGTTGGCGGCTGACGGCTTTGCCGTCTGTGGTTTTGCAGAGTATGCATGTATGTATTGGGGGGGGTTTGATTCTACAGGTAGCACACTTAGTCCACAATGACATGATTAGTGGGCGGTATGAATTCATGCCGTTCCGACCGAGCTGGCTTTGTCGCGACGAATGGGGAGCGTGTAGCATTGCGTGTTGCGCGTCGCGGCATCGGGGTTGCGCCGTCAGCCGTATCTTATCGCGCATGCTGCACAGCCCTCTCTTTCCTAAAGCAGACCATAGTGCGACGGCACCCGGACGGCGTCACGGCCCACTGACGAACGGACCCCTTGAAACCAGCACCCCTACGTCATCACCCAATGAAATCATTCCATTCTGACATTTCCAGAACCTTTTCTTACCCGGTAACCCAAGCCGTCTATTTCCTTCACCCTCCGCAGCCTGATAAATGGCCTGCCCAACTTAGACTGGCTCCGCGTACAACTCCAACCACCCAAAATGACAGTGTCTGTCGATGCCGCACCACCACAACACAAGGCCAGCCGGCCACGATGGATCCTCCATATTCAAGCCCAGTTCTGGCGCGTGCTGATGGGCATCGGCATGGTGCTCCATCGTCTTGCTCGCCCATGGCCCCCTAGACCCGCCTTCCACAGAGACATTGACGCCACCGTGTCGCCAATCAAGGGCAGGTTCCGCCTCCATTTCTACACACCCAAGGACTATAAAATGCAGAAAAAACTCAAGAGCGCCAAGAAATATCCCGTTGTTATCAATTTCCACGGTGGCGGCTTTGTTCTCGGCACCGCCCATGACGATGCGCGCTGGTGTGGCGCCGTTGTTGATCAAGTGGGAGCCGTTGTGGTCAGCGTCGACTATCGTCTTGCACCCGAAAACCCATTCCCTACTGCTGTAGAGGATGGTGCTGATGCGCTGCTTTGGCTGGCCCAGCACGCAGGTGAGCTGATGCTCGACGCGGATCGCTTCGCCATCTCTGGCTTCTCATCCGGCGGCAACATGAGCTTCACAGTCCCTCTATGTCTACAAGGCGAACTCTTCGATCAAACCCCATGGGGTGCAAAGATTATCGACCAACGAGCGGGCAACGTGCCCAACGGCGTCGTCCACGCACCCCAAGCATCTTCCCAGACCCTCACCCCACAAGGCTCGCGCATCCACCTCATCCGCCAGCAATCACGCCTCGATCGGATTGCTATGCTCCGCCAGACGGGCGCCTCGTCCTTGTCCCTCGTTACCTCGTACAAAGACAAATCTGGAGTGTCAGTGATGACTGAAGGAACCAATGCCGTTCTCAAGATTAGAGGAATAGTCTCTTTCTATCCCCCAACCGACTACACACAGACGCGCGCACAGCGCAGGGAGACCTGCCCGAGGGTAGACCAGAATCTACCTGCCGTCTTCACTGACCTCTTCGACGACTCCTATCTCCAACCGCCCTCCCTTGACCTCTCGCACCCGTGGTTGAGCCCCGGTGTAGCACCAAACCACATGCTCGAAGCTTTGCCCGATGACATTGTACTCTTCTGTTGTGAATGGGATATGCTTCATGCTGAAGGCCAACGGTTCCGCGACCGTCTTCAAAAGGATCTCGGCAAGCGCGTCCACTATCACTGTGTACCGGGAGTGCCGCATGCCTGGGATAAGGCGCCGAACCCTCTTAAAGAAAGCGCTAGCGCAAAGCAGCAGTACTCGATTGCTTGTCAAGAACTCAAGCGCATGTTCGACATGGAAGAGGAATTTGAAGAGACCCCGTCACATTCATTCGACAGTATGTCGTTGCACAAGTATCATACAAACATGCATGCGGGTAGACTCAGGCAGCAGGCCCACGAGCATGTATAGCCCTCTTGGTCTTCTCCACATTATTGGTTGCATGCTAGTTCGGGTTTCATGTTTTTTTCCCGTCTCTGTTTTCTTCTCAGCTGCGCAAGGATCATGTGACTAGGCGTTCTTGAGACGGTTATGGGTGCTGTTTGTTCTCTCATGAGATTCATGTATTCTATTCGTTTTCTGGGAAAACGAACATTTTTGAGATTATGTAGTTACTCGTTGCTCCTTCCAAGCAAGTGTGTTATGTTGGTTTGAGTGTGTCCATCCCACTCCTTCCTACGCCTTCGCTCGATGACGTCTAAGCGTGCAACATTGTTTCTCGTCCCTCATTGAGTTTTGAACAATACCAGACCATGAACCGAATACTCACTCGCCCAGCCTCCCCCTACAAATGCATACCGCGAAGTTCATCTTCCAATCTTGGTTGCCTGCTTCCAATCATTCCTATAGGCCAAGTCGCTAATGGCGGTGGCTGTTGTTACACAAGCTGTCTGCCTAATGAAGCTCAGCCACATCGCCAATCAATACTGCGCCCTTTTTGCAGCCTCAGCCTAAGGGGAGAGCTTAAGACACCCAAACTCCAATGCAGACGTTAATCAATTATTCTTGTATCCATCTGCGAGAAACAAACTCTATCCCTACCTTATTACATACCTAGCACTACGTAGAAAAATGATGCTTGGCTCACCTTTTTGGTCCAAGCTTCTGTTTCCCGGAGCAGACACCAATACAGACTGCAAAAGTTGCAAAATCGAGCAAAAAGCCATGCAAGAACTCACGCCACACTCCAGTTTGTACGACCACAGGATACACTCAACTGACGAGCCGAGCAAGACGGTGTGGGGAAAGGCCACCATAACCTCCGTCATGAGTTCTTTGACGACAAATACGCTTTGCGAACGATGCAAAACGTTGCCATCGCGCATACTTAAGCTTGTAGATACTTCCTATCCAGGTTCTGAAGAAATCCTCGGTTTTATCACGAAACGATCCATATGTGCCGGCTGTTCTCTCTGTTTTCAGTTCACCTGCGTTTTCGAACATCTGGAGAGCTTAACAGCTGATGACAATCTGGAACATTTCGTGCTGTACTGGTTCTCACATCCCCAGTTCCAGAGATATATTCAAGTGGACTGTGTCAGGGGGAATTACGATTTTCTATTCTTCCCTGCCCAAAATGTCAAACATGGAGGCCTGTCACCACCCATTCGCCAAAAGATTTGCCCTGTTCACCCAGATTATGACTTCATTCGAGCACAATTGGATATCTGCAAGGTGGGCCATGGTCAAGAATGTAACCCATCAATGACTGGTAAGCATACTTTAAGGGTCATAGATTGCAGATCCCGCCGGCTTACAACGGTAAACCCTGATGAGCCATACATATGTTTGAGCTACGTGTGGGGTAGCGGCAATATGCAGGATGCCAGGGAATTTGGGGATAAGCTGCCAGCGAGCGTCCCCAAAACTGTCGAAGACGCCATGTTTGTAGCAATTACCCTCGGCATACCGTACCTATGGGTAGATCGGTATTGCATCGATCAGGGAAATCACGAAGAGAAGCATCGGATCATTCAAAACATGAACAGAATTTATGAACAGGCAGAAGTTACAATCATAGCTGCCATTGGAGACGACCCCAATCATGGCCTTCCAGGAGTTCGAGGCACATTGAGAGAAAGGCCACTCACCCTTGAAATAGGAGGAGCAACCTTCGTTTCGGTTGAAGATACTACAAATGAGATAATGAAAACAAAGTGGTGGAGTCGTGGATGGACGTACCAAGAAATGCTCCTATCTCGTCGGCGATTGGTCTTCACCAAAACCCAAATGTATCTTCAATGCAGAAAGATATATTGCATGGAGACTTTGCATCCGGATTTCACGGCTTCTGATACAGAACCTTTCCCGACATATCAATGTTTTCCATCTCAAGGTATTGGCCAATCCATTGTTGACCTATCCAGTAGGCTGGAGGAATATTACCAAAGAGAGCTATCATTCGACACGGACTCTATACTTGCATTCGATGGCATCATCAATGCATTTGACGAATTAAAGTCTTTCCCGTTCAGGGTGAAGCAATTCTATGGCGTGTTACTGCTATACTGCGATGAAGATAAAGACATGGTGCAGAAGTCATTCATTTCGAACCTCGGTTGGTATTTGCTGACATATGGATATACTGCCTCGGACGGTGGAGGGGAAACCATTGTGTTTCCTTCTTGGAGTTGGGCTTCAGCCAAAGCAAGCCATTTAGGAGGGATTCTATATCACTCTCATCCGCCGACGAAACTTGTGTTTCACGATGATATTGAAGTTCGCCTAGAAAGCAAGGGAGGCCGGAAATTGGATTTGCATGAATTCTTCGAGAATACGGAGAGCCACGAACTGTTTCTCCCATCCATCGAGATAACGACCTGGGTCCACGATTATCCGTTCGAATGGACTCTTGAAGACTCCTCTGCATTGAGAGAATGCAGCCTGCATTTCGACTTCAAGCCCCGTGACAACTGCCATACACTTCACATGGTCTATCTGGGGGCCTGTACAGGATGGGATGTTCCAAATAATATGGATGCTTTGATTGTGGAGGAATTAAGACCCGGCATCTTCCGTCGTATTGGACTATGGCATCCTAATTTTGGAAACGATGAATTTGCTACTTGGAGAACGGCATACAATATGCTTACCAGGATGCTGGAGGAATTGAAAAAGAAAATACGGAGTGAATTCCGGATACCAGGTCAAGAGGTGCTTCTTCCTGATATCAAGTGGGAGAAAATGACCTTGACGATTGTATGAAAAAGGAAAAAAAAGGAAAAGGCCTGTTCCATCTTTCGGCTTGAAGTTCACGTTTTTCAATTCAATAGGAAATCACACAGATCTCGATGTCACACACTTTGGGTAAACCTCCAGCATCAAGAATTGATCTCGACAAGAATCTGTACCTTGATAGCGTCAAAAAGGACTAAAAGACATGGCAACATTCCTTTTCATTATTATTTTAACACCTGATGCTGGCAGGTTGGGATGTGGTCTGCTGCTATTCATTTCTGAGGAAGTAGTCATCTGACACGCTTGACGCGAAACCGACGTCAACAATTTCAGCAACCTTGCTTTTAAATGTAACTGCTCAAGCTCAGCCGACTCGAGCACATGAAAGAAAAAAAACAAGGTTTCCATTTTTCAAGAGAAGTTCAAGGGAACGTATCAAGTACTCTGCGAAATATCATCAGGGGCACTTTCCACGCCATATTAAAACAGAAATAACGGGTTAGAACGGGTATCCTAATTAAATTGCCAAAAAAAGAAAGAAAAGAGTCCCCTCCCCAAGAGAATGATCCAAATGATAACAAATGACAAGGCGTCCCTAATCAGGCTGGTAAAGACGCTACCCGAAAATGGGAATATTAATATCAAACTCCTCATCACTACCTGCCACTCTCCCCAAAACACACTGCGCCTTCCTACGCACCACCTCGCTCATATCCGCCACATGCACCTGCGCAATGTGATTCATCAGTGTTTCGACGCCACCATAGACACCGGTAATTTTGTCCTGAAGACAGCAAAAGATGCACCCGAAATTATCATCATTCGATGCAGCAGCCGTCGACCCACCATTCGCCTCCACAGCAGCGGCCCCAGCCTTCTTCTTGACATGAGATTTTGCCAGAAAAACCCAACGGTAGCGGATCCCGGATTTGGATACTTTGATACGGGCATCCACGACGTCGAGCGTCTTGTTTTTCTTGGTGGGGTGTGGGGCTTTGAATACGTCGCCGGTGAAAGTGCAGGATTTGCAGGCCCAAAGGGACTTTGTGGCGTAGAAGCCTGTGGGTTGGGCGCGCACGGCAAAGCCCTTTGTGAGGTCTTCGCGGACGGCCCAGGCGCCCTTGCAGAAGCCCCAGTAGTTGTTGCCTTTGTCGGGGCGCCCGTTCATCATCGTGTCGCTGCGGACGGGCCCGCTTTGGATCGTGTCGTGGCGGATGCTGTGCATGCGGTGGCCTGGGAGGACGCCAATGGGCATCGAGGTGCTGCTGCTGCTTGAAGTGGACCGATGGGAGCGCAGAGACTGGTTTACGCTGGCTTTCCGGCTTAGGTTCTTGGGGTTCAAGACAGCGGCTGCCGCAGTAATAGCTGATAGTCCTAATACGGTTCGATGATGTCCTGATGTGTTGGCCGGTGCGTTGTTGGCTGTGATTTTTACCGTGTACTTGGGTAAGCGGAGGTCGCTAGTATTCAAGGCTTCCTTTTCGTCAAATGAGCCTCGAAATCGTTGATGGGAACCGTGCTGCGTGACTGATGGTATTTCTCTATGCTGCTGGGTTCCTGGCCATGGGACATGAATTGGTGGACTTGTACCTGCATTGGTTACAGGGACTGCCTTGTAGATGGAAGCTTTCCTGTACACGCCATTTTGTGAAGTCTTGGGCTGGTTACATGAGGGCGCCAATGGTGCCATGTGTGGAATCTCGTATCCATCATCTAAATCTTCATGTGGAGAAGATGGACTGGGCAGACTATGGTAGTCCTTGTCATTCAGCTGATAGCACTCGTCTAGTGTTATTGGTACTGAGGGGACGCGGCCATGATCAAAAGACTGCGACTGCTGAGATAGCCCAGGTGTTTGGCTAGATGACCCCTGTGAAGAACTGGAGCTGTTCCGTTCGAGTGATGCAAGATATGATGGATCAGAACTGGCGCCCGAGGACTCGGACCATCGTGACTGTCTTGGTGCTCTGGCCTGTACATGGGCGTGTTTATTCAGGGCGACAAAGGGTCGAAGATAGTCAAACTGCTCACTTTCTATGGCAAACATATCTTGATTGAATGTCGGAGTCCTGGTAGAATGTGTTCCTTTTTGATCAGTTGATGCTCGTGGTACCTGGTGAAGTTTATGGCGAGGGTCTTGTTCAGACTCGGTCATTGTTGTTCCAGATACATCTTGGGGTCTCGGCGTACCGAGGGGTTCTTGTAGTCCAGAGTAGCTTCCGCTGTATCCGTGTATTTGTTGTTGATCATCCCCGCTACTGAAACTAAGGCTTTGATACGAGTTGATCATCTGTTCAATGTCTCTCATTGCATTTGCGCGATGATCGGGATGTATGCGTTCTAGCGCCTTGCTTAAATCCTCACCAAAAGCATGTTTGGGAGCATAGGCCGGAAGACTCGGAATGGACATGTCTTTGATGCCAAGCGGGTAGTAGTTCTCAGATGAGCCGTGTCTTGTCGTTCGATATTCAACATGCCGGGGATAGTCAGCGTAGGCGTCGTGTAGTGCATGGGTCGGCTCGTGGCTCGACTGCGCGGTTGGTGGTAAGAAGCGCGACTGCCATAGTCTGGACTTGTCGCCAAAATCCTGGGGCTGCCGTGCCATGGGCCTTCTCAGATATATCCTTTGCTTGAGTTCTTCGAGAGTCACGAGTGTTTCTTTGCGATTCGTGAGTGAGGCCTGATGCAGAACCCGCAAATCGAGTACACAAACCTCACTGAAGGAACATGTTTAGTTGACCTATTTGTCATGTTGGATGTTTCTCCAAGGCATACCTTGTAGCTGCTTGTTTGAGACTGTTGATTATCTCAGCCTGTAGCATCAGTGTTATTTGGTATAGACGCTCTCGGGCGATATCTATGGGTATTAATAAGTAGCATAAACATGCGTCATACCGGATGGGGCATGTTTTACCATCACCAATGCGTACTAGATCGCCCAACTCTCTTTGGTCCTGGTCGTAGTGTAGGCCAATCTGTTGCTCGCCCGCCACAAGAGAAGCCTGTAGTCGTTCTTCTTCCCATTCTTGTTGCGCCGAGTTCCGGGCTTTGCGAGCACTGCGTTTCTTCCGCACGTGTTTCAGCAGTTCCGATCCGGCATGAAAAGCGGAGACGACAGCAGCCACAGCAGCAACAACCTAGGGCCCGGTAAGTGACTGCTGGGTTACAACTTGATATCTTATCATGGACAAAATATACGAGAGCGTGGGGGAGAGGCCATATCAAGTGACCAAAAAATACCTCACCTCAAGGCCAGACATTTTCAAGATAGTTGCTGGTTGCTCGGCGAGTTTGTACTCGACACCCCCCCACTGTCTAGGTTGTGGTCCCTGTCCGTACGAGGGGCATTGATAGCAGCTTGTACTTAGCTTGGCGCATTCGCCAGGAAGAAGAACCTGAGTGGAGGGATTATAAGCTCGCTGATGGCCTGGCCAGGTTGTGTGTGATCAAGGGCCGAATGTTCCTGGCAAGTCGCTCGACTTGTGTGGTGAGGGCTATTATCCGCCGGCTGGATTGATGCGGGGAAAAGCCGAGGATACGTCACGTATCAGGCTGCCGCATGAGAGAAAAATCGAGTTGGAAACCAGGCAAGCACAAGGACGCGAGTAAGAAGCTGATGTCGAGAGCCGGTGGACAGACACGGGGGGAGAGCGGGGAGGAGAAGGAAAGATTGGTGTAGATTGCATCGAGGCAGCCAGCACAAGAAGAAGAAGACAATACTCAGCCTCACTCAGACCCAGCCGGTGGACATGCGAGCAATGAGTATGTTTGGCTAAGCTTCTGCTGAGCTAACGATAGGCGACAGTATTGCTTAACCCAGGTGCAGCACTTGATGGCGCATTCTCCAATGATACAAGCTTATGGCTGTGGTGCAGGCGGGCTGTGTGAAGCCACCGATCCCAAAGCGACTCGATATCTGTACAGAGGCTGCAAGACACACTTGGCTGACTGGTCGCCGTCCCGCCTGTCGGACTTTCTTTACTGCGCCTACTACGACGCGTGAAGCCCGCCATCAGCAGGCTGCATGCACCGCGCATCCGCGAAGAGGCGATACATACCCAACACACAACGAGTCATGTTTCCCCAGGGCCCTGTGGCGTAAAACTGAGCTTGACAGGTGAGAATGAAGCTTGTATACAAGTACACGTCTGATGAGCGAGGGCGCGTTAAAGTATTGGAAACTAGGCGTAGTACGTAGGGGCGAGGAAATCAGCGAAGAAGGGCAGGGCCGTCCCGTTTACTATGTACGTACCGCCTTCCGCCTCTCCCTAGTAGTCTCGCCTCTACCCAAGCGTCGCCCCTACCATGCTTCATGCTCATGTCACGGGATAGACGGGCAGTAGAATCCTGCACTAGGACTTTTCACTATCTCACCGGTGGGACACTGCCCCGGGACTCCTGTAACCATGGGGCCGCCATCAAAGGTGGCCTGACAATTCGACTTGCAAACCCATTGTACAAAATAATGAAGCGTATCCTAGCACGTCTTACAGCATTGCAGGGTCTCACTTGAAAAGCACAGTGCATCCATGTCATAATCGTACGCTTAGACTGCACAATTGAACCTTGTAATAACTCGCATTCGAATCTTGCTGGGCTTCTGATCTAGAAGCCCGACCTATTTGTAATGTCTTTGTCCACCCATTCCCCCTTTACCCACCCAACCCAACCACCCTTGCACACCGTCCAGCAGCACGCCTTGCACAGTGTCAACCAGAACCCCCCTATTCATGCAATCAAACAAAGGCCAAATGGGCCTTTGATAACTCCGACCCAAACGACCCCCGCTAACAACAAGGGCAAAAAAAAAACTACCCATGTGAATGAGCAAAGCACAATGAATCTTCGCCAGGCAGAAAAAGACATGGCGCCGTTAAAAAAAGTCTGTAGAAACCCCTATCGCTAGAAGCGCAGCCTTAGAATGCCAATGACATAAGAAAAAAGATGCCAGAAGCTAAAGATTGTGGAAAGAGTTTGAATGCTGAAAGATATAAAGACAGAAAAAAAAGAAAGGAAAATCGTCTAAGCGTCTTCGAGCTGCACTCTGTGACTCTTGCGGTTCTTGACTTCGACCATGGTGGGTGTAAGGGCTAGCTTGTCAAGGACTCGCTCCTCGCTTGGTATGGTTGAGACGCGGACCACAGTTCGGGGACTGTGTGCTCTACTGAGAGAAACGCTTCTTGCGAGCCCCACCGTAGCTTTTGCGATTACTTCATTTTCGCCATTTGTTTCTCGTCTCCGTGCTTGAATCTCTGCACGTTTTTCCCCAAGCCGACTGGCCGAATGCGGTGGGGTCGAGAGACTATGTAGTCGCTGCAATGGCGAAGGAACGTCGATAGGCGCAGAAGCCGGATGTGAACAGAGGGCGCTCATCTTGGTGACTTTTGGCTGCCTATGCGAGGGTGAACGAACCAGGGTGGAAACGGGCGTGTCCGGGATGACGAGAGCTTCGCGTTTTGCCGCTCGAGGTGGCGGCGCACAAAGTTCCCAGTCGGGTTCTCGGTCGTCGAGATGAAGCGTCGTGGTTTGGCCGTGGCCGTGCAAGATCGGGGCGGCAACAACGCTAACGGATTCGGCTTCAGATTCAGAGCCAAACACGGAGGTTGGCGTCGAGGCAGGCTTCAAGTATGGAGATGCTACAGGTGCAAGTTTGGCGGGATCAATCCTCTTTTCAGAGCGATCTGAACCCTCCACAAACTCGGTTCGAACAGGTGATTTCGAGGGCAACGTCTTGGAACGTTTAATATCCCCCTTGCTGCGGTTAATGACGGGTGTACCCAATGGTGAAGGCGCGCGAGACGTAGTCGTGGGAGGGAACAATGTTAACCGTGGTGAGGACGTCACAGCCGGCGAAGTCACTCTGCGCTGGAGAGGGAAGCTCTCGGCTGGTGGATCATCCTATGCTGCTGTTAGCATACACAAAGAGAGCTCAAGACATTATCAACCGTACCTTGGCAGAAAGCTCGTTCAACGGCTTGACCTTTTCTGTATTTCCTTGTCGTCGCTCCAAGAGCGATGAACGGCTCGGTCCAGACTGCAAAAGGTTGCCAAACATGATGCTGTATCTCTCCATTGTGATGTCAGGGAGCGTGATGTTAAGGATTGGAGCTTCTGTTGGTGTTGAACTGCTCGACTCTGCAGCTGGCAAATCACCGACATTTTTGGGTGATATAGCATCCATGGTTGAAGCAGTGTCGTCAGTCTCATTGCGTGGAGGAAAATTTGTTGCCGGGATGGAACGTTGGATGGTCCTCTCCTGGAGGTCTGAAGCATGATTTCCAAGCGTCACTGCACGACCTCTGGTCGATGTTGCTTGCGGAGGTGACTTGGGTGCGACAAACTCTCCATGGCTCCATTTGCGCGACTCGCGAATGTCAGGCTTGTATGCAGGTGGTGACACATTGCGCAGCTTGTCCCTCCCTGCTTCGTCCTTGAGTGAAGTCTTTGATTCATTGACTTCTTCATCGTGGTGGCTGTCGGCACGAGCTGATTTGTCCACCGACTGCGATAACTGATAGAATGCGGCTTGCTCCTGGGGAGTAATGGGTGGCGGCGGCGGCGCTGCTTTGCGAAATAGCGACTTCCATCGACTAAGTTTGGGTTTGGCAGGCCCTTGGGGACCACTCAAGGATGGCGACGAGGCGTTGGGATGAGTCAACATGTCTACTGGGAGATCTGTAAATCCTGGATTCGTCTTCGAGTCGACTGCGTGAGGAGGTGGGATCCAGTGCGAAGCAGAAGTCGGTGATCCAAGAGCGATACCAATGATCCCCTGCTCTTTTGTGACATCTGAGGTATAGAGTACGGTTGTCGACGATGTAGGCGATTGGAAAGAGTGGACATGATCTTCCGAATGGAACGATGGCGCAGGACTGGTCTCCCTGCGAGACATCACTGGGCGCTCTACAGGCCCGCCTGAGGTGCTCGGTCTGATTACCACGTCTGGGGCCTTGAGATTTCCCTCCAGTTGCAAATTCGCCGTAGACGCATGGTATTTGTCAAGATCTGTTTGAGACGCTTTTAGAGCTGGCATTGTGTTTCCCTTCTCTTGATCAATGACATCTCTGCGATTGTTTCTTAGGAACCGCAGAGACTTGGATCTCGTGAGCATCCCGGGCATGGTGAGTTTCAAAATCCGTTAGAGGGTATCAGATGGTAAATTGGGGGTCGACAAAGGAGAACAACACAATGGGCTTGAAAATGAGAGAAAAAAAAGGAATGGACAGCCCTGTAGAGCCAAAAAGGGAACAGGTATCGACACAGTCGCTGGAGGTTCAAAGAACAAAGGACCGAGATGTTTGGTCGGTGTTGGGATGCACGCCAGTATCATCACCACGCGACCACCGGATGAACCTGGCGCCTCCACACTTTGCACACCGTCATTATAGCGGCGGCAATCATTTACACCCACTTTGGCGCGTCTGAAAAGAAATTGCACAAGGTCGAGAACCAGGTGTGGAACCAGGGTAGTGGGCATAACATGCGAGCGTCTGCTGCGATTGGCTACCCAGGCATGCTCGCTATAGCGGGCCCCCCTGGCAGGCGACGGAATCATCTTAACGAGCGTCTTATCACAACCATGGTGCTGGCAGGAATAGGCGGCTGTCTCCCGGCGGGGACCGGTGTGTAAGGAGCACGAGCCCGGTTTCACGACGATGCTCTGCCGAGGAGCAATTTCGTGATGCGCCGCCAAGGGCATCAAAGCAACACGACAGTGGCTGATCAAGATTATCGGTCCGTTGCGGCGGCACATTGCGCTGGTGCTTGCAGAAACTACGAGCTGAACGCTCTCCTCGCCTTGCCCCTGATGTCGTGGTCCGCAACGGGCAATCAGCACGATGCTACAGCAGAGCACTGCGCTTGTCCGTGTCCATGGAAAGTAGTCGATGCACAATGTGCCGGCCCCAACTACACTAGCATCGTCTGTCCAAAATGAAGCCCCACAGCAATGCCGCAACGTTTCGGAATTGCCTGCACAGCGTCTCGCTGTTTACTCTACATACGACACACGACGGGGTACCACGCCTGATCGCAACGGATGATTGCAACAGGCATCCAGCGTTGGCGTCTCAGGCAACATGCTATTTTGATGGCTGGCCGAATCAAGTATGCCAAACAGAATCATGACAGCGGTATCGAAGACGAATCGAAGCATGCTCCCCTCCTGCATCCCCACATCTTCCCTGCGTCGTGCGGCGGCAGAAGGCAGATGCACGTCCCGTCGCTGTTCCACTGCCCAACGTCGTAATGCACCAGGTCAGATTAATGCCTCTGTGCGCCTGGGCTTCTGATCGTACGGAAAACCTTATGTTGCTTGGACAAGAAGCATCAACATGCAAAGACGTCTTCTATGCAAAAAGGTCTTTCTACCTTCACAACCCATTTCTATACCACAACCTTAATCTTCAGACAACGACTTGCCAGGCCTCCAGTTCCTATATCGCTCCGCCTCGGCTGCGATTGTATGGGGAACGTGTTGCTGTAGTGCCTGCTCAAAGTGGCGCATGCAAACCTGAGGTGCGCTGTCCGGACACATCGTGTAGTCGGTAATTGCCAGTTCGACGGCGACAGCACACAGGCCACTAATATCTGCGCCACTGCTGCCCTCCGTTTGTTTGGCAACAACATCCAAGTCAACGTCAGCGGCGAGCGGCCTCGATCTGGTATGAATTTGTAGAATTTGCTTCCGTGCCTCTTCTGTCGGGAGACCAATGTGGATGTGTGCATCAAAACGGCCCGTCCGAATAAGTGCTGAATCGAGAATATCGGGCCTATTGGTTGCGCCGATGATGAAAACGTCCTTTAGCGCTTCAATACCGTCCATCTCGTTGAGTAGTGTCGTCACAACGTTCAACCCACTGTCTTGCGTCTTTTCACGCGACTTTCCGATGGAATCAATCTCGTCAAAGAAGATGATGCAAGGCTTCGCTGCTCGTGCTCTACGGAACACATCCCGAATCGCTCGTTCAGACTCACCCACGTACATTTTGATGAGTTCGGATCCCTTTACGGCAAGGAAGTTCTGCCTGCTTTCGGTCGCGACGGCCTGTGCAATCAGGGTCTTCGCGCATCCCGGTGGGCCGTAGAGGAGAACGCCTTTGCGCGACTGAGGCCCACCGAATTTGACGTCGAGGTCAGGGTACTAAGGGCATCATCAGTCACCTTTTGTTACTTGGACGCGAATAAAATTATGAGGCAGAGCAGGGATCTGTGTGCATCCCGAACATGTGGAAATTGATGCTCACGTACCTTGAACGGGCGAACGGTAATGGCTTCTAGCACGGCCCGTACATGATCCAAGCCAGCAATGTCCGTCCACCTGACTTTTGGCACTTCGAGAATGCTATCCTTAAGCACTGTGGGGCGCACTTGCTCTATCACGGCCTCGAAATCCTCCTGCTCGACAAAGTCGGTTTCTTCATCTACCTTGCCAAGCTCGGTCTTGTCTTTCCCGTCCAATAGCTTGACTATCTGCCTCATGTGGTGCCTTCTAGCCAAGTAGCAAAGGCTGGCAATATCGCGACCTACGAAGCCATGTGACCGTTCTGCAAGAGCACTCAGGTCAACGTGCGGGACAGTGCAAGTAGGCCCCAGTATCTGGCGTATAATATCTTCTCTCTGCTTTGCGTTTGGTGGTAGCAACTCAAGCTCGGTCTGAAAAGCAGTCGCTGTTCGAAGGCTGGAGTCGATATCATATACGCTGCGCGCTGCTGCTGCGACAACGACTTGGCTTCCTCCCAGAGTACCGAGCTCAATCCGAAGCCTGTTTACTAATGAGTCGGCCTTGTCTAAAAGCCGATCCAAATTGTCCATCAATATCAGGCTTGGTTGGTTTTCACGGGCATCTTGGAAGATATCAGATAGGGCCTTGGCTTGGCCTTTGGGATTTGTATCGGGATTGATCCTGTAGACTTCAGTCCAGGGACACTCCGCAAGTCTCTCGAGCAAAAGAGTCTTTCCGGTACCCTCTGGGCCATGCAAAAGGAAAGTGGTAGGCCCGAGAAGGTGTCGGTTGTGCAGATGAGGTTGGCTGTTGGTAAGAAAGGAAAGATCTTCATTGATGGCTGCAATGTGGTTGGAAAGACCGCCGATCCCATCAGACCTTAATTGAAGTACACCTGACGGCTTCGAGGGTGACTGTCTGGGCGTGAAATCGCCCACAGTGGTAATGTGAGTAGCAGTTTCATCAAAATATACGGCGTGTTTCTCGGTCGGAAGTGGGTCAATACTTTGCACTGTGACCCGGAATTTTTGGCCTTTTTGCCTAAAGCTCTTTTGCTGGATTGGAAAACTGCATCCCGGCAGGAGAATGTCTGTGTCTGCTGCTGCACAAGACTTAGAGAAGTAGATGCAAGACGCACATTTGCATATTTACCTAGTGCATGGCGAAGCCAATATAAAAGTTGCTCGCCCGAGGCAAACTTGGCAGTCTGAGTTGGTGAATCGGAAATGCTAATCTCGATTGACTTGAGAGGCTTCCAGGAGTCGGCCTTTTCAATGAAAACGGGATCATTGAGCGCGAGGTCATAGTGCTCCCGTAAAAGATCGGTGACTTTGGCAATGGGCTTGTTCCCGGCGTTGGTCTGCGAGGCGAGCCATGCAACGGCGTAGCCTCTGAAGCCTGCCGCAGTGCTAAGCCGCACGCAGTCGCCATTGCTGAGCCCGAGAGCCTTGAGTTCTTTGGCCGACAGATGGACGCGAAAAGCACCGCCCTCGAGCGCATTGGTAGGAATGCTGGGCGGATTGCGCTCCAGCGGGCGCAGGGTATAAGTAGCAGCCGGGCTCATGTTGCTTTTTCCTGTGCGCGCGCAATGAGGGAGGGTTTATGAAGGGGTGCGTATCTGAGGAGGGATAGATTCTTGTACGCATGTGACTCGCATGATGCGTCTACTGCATGTGCTCACAAGGATTTTTTTTTCCGCCGCAGAAGTCGTGAGCAGGTCAAGCATGCGACGCTCGCCTAATTTCCCTTTTGGGCTGCAACCGACTGTGGTGGTAGGGAAATGGAGTGACTAAGCGACGGGCGTGCTAGGCCGGATTGAGCCATTAGCGCTGCATGCCTTCTGCAGCTTTTCAGTGTCGACGGTAGGCCCAAGAATCGCAGCTGTGCAATGTGACCAAGCCGCGCAATTGATGCCACCGCCGCGCCTCTCTCGACATCTGCGGCCATGTCACCTCCCAGTGACCGCGAAGCAGGTTCGCGGCGTCCATGCCACCACCCGCGCCAGACTCTCGACCGCCGGCAATGACACCCCGCAGACACGCACTGCCCAAGGCGACAACAACGAGGGCAGTGCTCCATCCCGCCCAATTGACTCGCCAAGAGACGGCCCAGTCGAGGAGAAGCCCTGGTGGAGAAAGGCATTGAACCATGTTGCTTCCTTGGGGGCTCACAATGACCCCTCCACATCCACTGAGCCCAAGTCGGAATCTTCACCACCGCCTCGTCATCATGCCAAGAACCAAGGACGCTCTGAAGCTCATCCTTACGAAGCAAATGGAGCAACAGATCAAGACGAACGAGGCCCTACATATGGATTTGTTCGTTTCACAGCAACCGGGAACCAATTGAAAACTCATCGCAGAGAGAGGAAATCTGCGAAGCGGAGGCAGGGCCATGTTTCGATTGCCCAGCAGACTGATGTTGCAGCCATGCGGCAGCAAATCCAACAGCTCGCTGAACAGGTCAAGGCTCTGCAAACCCGCCTCGAAGCAAACCCTACGAAAGGGCAGTTGTCGTCTTCGCCTACATCTGCTGCAGTAAGAGCGACGCCCATGAAGAAAACACAAGCAACGCTTTTCAAACCGCAGAGTCTAGACCCAGCGCTCCAAACCCTGAATGAGCGGCGTATTCTCCCTTCTTCCGAAATAACATCCAGTGAGATTATAATTCTTCTGGATGCCGCCCGAGATGCTTATAAACGCACTTTCTATAATTGTCTTAGAACCGCTTGGTTTTTTGCAAAGTCTCGTTCTGACCTAATTACACCTATAGCTCCCTCCATTCTACGTCACTTTCTTACCGCTCAACGACTTACCACGTTGGATGACGTTTCGTTAGTCGGCAACATCTGTGCGAAATACCAGAGACTGATGGGCGGGCTTGCCTCAAAACTGTCC